TTTGTTTTGAAAGGGAAGGAGGGAGGGAGGTAGGAAGGGAGGGAGGGAGGGAGGGAGGGAGGGAGGAAGGCAGAGAGGGAGGCAGGAGGAAGGGAGGGAGGGAGGTAGGGAAGGGAGGGAGGTAGGGAAGGGAGGGAGGGAGGGAGGTAGGAAGGGAGGGAGGGAAGGGAGGGAGGGAGGGAGGGAGGGAGGGAGGGAGGAAGGGAGGGAGGGAGGGAGGGAGGGAGGGAGGGAGGGAGGGAAGGGAGAGAGAGAGCGAGGAGGAGAGAGAGAGAGAGAGAGAGAGAGAGAGAGAGAGAGAGAGACAGAGAGACAGAGAAAGAGAGAGAGAGAGACCGAGAGAGAAAGGGACAAACAGACAGACAGACAAACAAAAACAGATACATAAACACAAACAAACACAGAGACAAAGAGAGAAAGTGAGTACGAAAAGATAAAAAAAAAGAAAAAAAGATAGGGAGGGAAGAACAACTCTTGACGTATGTCAGTCATGTATGAACACAAGAAGTACAAGTCGCTGTTGAAATATACCGAAATTAATTTCATAGATCTTTGATAATTACAAAAGTGCGATGCAGAGTCACTGTCGAGATGGCTTCTGTACTTCAAGGTAGTTGAGTGTCATGACCGATCCACGCTTTTTTTTTTTTTTTTAAGAGTTCAAAACTTTTACTTATCCACTGATCTGAATGCCTGACTTTGCGAGATTGCTTTATAGCGTTGATGGAAGGGAAAGAGGAATGAAGAGATAGATAAAAGAGATTATTAAGAAAAAAAGTTAAGATAAAATAATGAGAATCAAAAATAATTATCATAATTCTTAAAAACGAATGTTCTTTTTTTTATCCCCGTGTGGTGACTCAGTTCCTTTTTTTATCCATGTGCTGACTCAGAAGTTCCCCTTCCCTGTCAGCTGACTCAGAAGTTCCCTTTCCCCGTCTACTGACTCAGAAGTTCCCTTTCCTCATCTGGTGACTCAGAACTTCCTTTTCCCCCGTGGGTTGAATTTAAGGTTCCTTTCCCCCCTGTGTTGACACAGTTCCTTTTCCCCGTATGTGTGACTCAGAAGTTCCCCTTCCCCGTGTCCTGACTCAGAAATTCCCTTATCCCCGTGCGCTGACTCAGAAATTCCCTTTTCTCCACTCGCTGACTTTAAGATCCCTCCCCTCCCCCATCCTCTTCCCGTCCCCCCCTTTAAACACAGCCTCTAAAATCCCCCCACCCCCCACCCTCACCCTGCTGCTCTGAAGTGAGTCACGGGGTCGAGAGAGAGAGTCAAAAAAAAAAAAAGGTCACATGCAATATTGACCTGTCGCCCTTCGTCAAAGCATGATTGAAAGCAACAAGAAAAATGGGCGTGAGAAATCATACATCGAAGGGCACGTCTGGAGAACCTTGGCTAGTCGAGTCCTGTTTAATTAACGAGGTGTACGGTAGTAGTGTTTCCCTGTTTCTCTGTCTTGTTGTGTCTGATTGTCTTGGATTTTTCTTGTTTTTGTTTTTTGGTCTTTGGTTTAATTGTTTTTTGGTTGGATTTTTCTTGTTTTCTTAGTTTTTTCTTGTTTTTTTTCTTATTTTCTTGGATTTTTTTTGTTCGTTTTAATTTTGTTTTTGTTTTTTCTTATTTTCATAGATTTTTGTCTTTATTTTGTATTGTTCTTTTCTTATTTTCTTAGCTTTTTTTCTTTATTTCAATCGTTTTGTTGTCTTTTCTTATTTTCTTAGTTTTTTCTTGTTTTCTTGTCTTTTCTTATTTTCTTGGTTTTCTCTAACTTATTTTTTTTCTGATCTTTTCTTATCTTAACATATTATCTTTTTACTTTCTTAACATCTTATCTTTTTACTTTCTTATCTCCTTTTATTTTCTTATCTTCTTTTATTTTCTTTTTATTTTCTGAACGTTTTTTTTTTTTGTTTGTTTGTTTCTTATCGTATCTAATTTTCTTATATTTTCTTCATTATTTTCTTATTTCCTTAGTTTCGTTTATCGTTTATCTAGTTTTTCATTTTTACGATTTCGTTTTCTTAATTTTCTTCTTTTTTCTTATTATCTTCCTTATTTTTTCATGCGCTTTTCTTTTTTTATGCTTTAATCGCATTCCATTTTTTTTTCTTTTATTGTCTTCATTAACTTTCCTTCATTTACCTTCTTATTTTTCCTTTACCATCTTCCGCCACTTTTTTTTTTTCGTCATCCTTCTTCTTCTTTCTTCATCTCCTTTCTTCTTCTTTTCTTATTCTTAATTTCTCTTTTATTATTATTGTTATTATTGTTATTATTATCATTATCATTATTACTATTAATATTACTATTATTTATTATTATTATTGTTATATATATATATATATTTTTTTTTTTACTATCATTGTTATTATTAATATTATTATTATTATTGTTGTTATTGTTATCATTATTATTACTGCTATTATTATTATTATTATTATTATTATTATTATCATTATTATTATTATTATCATCATTATCATTATCATTGCGATT